TCTTTTTATATTTATATGTAAATATGTATAATTATGTCGTATGTATGTATTGAAGAGTATTTGAGAAGGAATATTTATTACTTGAAGTGTTGATAGTATTTTTATATGTATGTATGTATATATGTACGCGTATATAAGTGGGTTTGTAAAATGTTTTATAATTGTTGAACGCAAATTGGTTTGTTATTTTAGAATTTCTATCGACTGCTTGTGCAAATAAATTGTTTATCCATAAGGTACTAACTTCATTTGCTCAAGATGTCAATTAAAATTTTTCAAATATCAGATTTTTTCATTATTACCAATTTCATGACTGGATCCATTTCAAATCATGCAGGCAGTCCAATGGTATATCGAGAATTGACTTCAGAATAAAATATGTATGTTTTTCTGCTTGAAAATAAAGAACATATTTTTTTTTAATTTTCATAGAATTACTTCCTCTTAAATATTACAATTTTTTAAATTTCTAATTGTTCCTTAAGTAAGTTTTTTCTTTAAATATATAAATATTTATTATTATTATTTATTATAAATATCTTAAAAATTAAAGAATTTCAGTAAATAAAAATAATACTTAATTTTTTTGAAGAAACAAGCAAAACTTTTAAACTTTCTCTACAGAAAAATTACAATAATTTGTTTTCTCCCAAGAAACGAAAAAATGCCAAACGTAAGTAATAGGTACAAATAGACACCTATAAGCCTTGTGAATTTGAAGAAAAAAGGTCACTTTAATTGGGCACGTTCAGAAGGCGCAACAGCTCAGTAACAGTTGCGGTTGCACCTTCTGAACGTGTTGTTTTATACTTCTGATCAACTGAACAGTTGCGTGTTAAATGGTCGTAATATTTTTCTGATCATTTGAGACAACATGTTGTGTGTTTTGAATTTGACAGCTAATGTATCAAGTCGTTCAGAAGACGCATTACGATCACTGATTTTTTTAGCAACGGTTGCGCTCAACTGCTGCGCCTTATGAACCTACCCATTGATCTATTTTAAAAAAGATCAACAAATGGAGAAAAACAACTTTAGGAGCAAATAAATAGCTTAAAAATTACGGAAACTACAAGTTTAAAAAAATTGCCAAACAATTTTTTTTTTGACAAAATTTAAAAAAATTCATTGTTAATTTATTTTTCAAGCAGAAAAACATTTTTTACTCTGCAGTCAATTCTCGATACACCATCGGACTGCCTACATGATTTGAAATGGATCCAGTCTCATGTGGTACATACACCCAATGACTATTGATTTATTTAAGATTTCTTCCGTTGCTTTAAAAGTGTCAAAATGTTTTTTGTTTTTTTTTTGCTTTCACATTCCTGTAGTAGAATAAAGGACGTTATTTTGTTTAACAAGAATTTTGACTTTTGTCCCCCTACTTTATTTCTTGAATATAACGAGTTCTTCAATCCCAAAAAAAAAATCATTATTTTGGTTTAACCCCAAAGCTATGTCTCATTTTAAGTTTTTGAACATATCTAGTATGCAGTTTTAGTTTGATTAGTTGCATTTACTTGATTGCCAACAGTTATGTGTTTTGTGTGCTTTTAACTATTTATTTTTTAATCAACAATTTATATACATAAAAGTTTTAGATTCAGTAGATATATTTAACTCGCCTCAGCAATTGCTTTGTGACTATAACAATAACACTGTACGACAAGACATGTTTTGGGTAGTGGAAGTGAAATATGGTGGTTCTAAAAAAAAAAAAATATACTTAAAAAGTTTTACAAGGTGACATTTGCACACCGTTTTTCGATGCATAAAGCACTTTAAATATTTTTTTGTTATGAATTTGGCTGTTCGACATTAGACGTTTGAAAATTTAAATATAACTATCTCGGCTGTCACATTCCAGGAATTTTCCCACGGCGGTTGTATATCTGAGCCACTGCTTACATATCCATGAGGTAGGGATGGGTAATGATGAGAAATCATTGATTTTGCCATCGATGTTGACATCGGAGAGAGGGCGGCATACCTACTACTAGGACGATTCACAGAGACAGCGTTTTATGAAGTCTTTAGAATAGTCGAGAGATCACTCTACTTTAGCGGCTTTTCTTGGTCTGGTGGACAACCAATATAATCGTGTAAAACTGGGCCGAGTTTAGTGGGCCGCATGTTTCCGGCTTGCAGCGGCAATAAAAACCCCACTGCAAATTCCATCAATGCTATCACAAACCTATTTCTTATAGTCCTTAAAATAATTTAAATTTAGTATAATGCTTCGATTTCAGTTTAGGACACGCCTTGAAAAAGAACTTCGACTGGGACCGGAATTGATACCTAATCCTGGACATATCATCTATACACCGTTGGCTCCAAAATAAAATGCAGAGTTAGAGCAGATGTTTTCTCCTGGGACTAAAAAGGTTTATCTATCTGTCTGACTTCGCAACCTTTTTTTCCAGGCTAAGATTTTTTATATCGTTGAAGGTTTTCACACGACTAGCGTGCTTATTTGCACACTAAAAAGCTAGCCAGTGCTTTGCAAAATAATCAATTTTGCGGTCTGTGTAAGGCTATCGACAGATATTCAGACGTACCTAGACCAACGATCAGACCTGAAAGATGTGTTTTTTCAACTGGTTCATACTATTGAGAGGGAGCGCGATTGTGACTGTGGAGTAGAGGTCTGACGGGGCAAATCAAGCTCTAGGTTTATAAAAGTTGGGCTTCATATGCATAAGTTCCTCTCCTCTAAAAAAATATATCATACCTCGAAACTATGCAAAAATCTTGTAGCAATTGTAAAACTTTATTTGCGGGAGTCAGAGTTGCAAAATCTCTGTCACCTTGAAAACTTGGGCGGCCAGCGTTGCTACTTCCTCAGGAAAGAACCTTAACTGAATTATGCTCCAACGTTATTATTTATACGTTCTAGTCAAACCTTAAGAGGATGAGGCTCCTTCTCATCAAACAAATTTTTTTCCTGAAAGTTTCTTTTTTTGGGGAAAACTTCTAATAGTTTTCATAAAACATAATTTACTCTTCCCTCTATTAAAATTTGCTGATTAGCATTTTTGTGGAACATTTTAATCCTCTTACTGCTATTTTTTGTAAATTTACTCAAAAGATCCGTTCTAGGGGATTCACAAGGCGTGTTAACCGTCCCCCACCACCAAAATGATTTTAAACTGATACACAATATACATGTAATTAACCCCTCTGAAAACATTTTAACTGTTATTTTACATACAAAAATTTTAATGTGTGAAAATTCTATATGAAAAAATTTATCTAATATATGGAGGTCCCCTAAGGAAAAAATTGTGTTTGAAATAAGACTGCGCCTAACCATTTCTTTAATATCCGAAAATTAGTTTTTTTTTGAATTTTCTATAAAGTTTTAAACTTGCATTTATATGGTTTTTGTTAGAGAATGAACTGTATTTTAATTGAAAAATAATGAAAATTAAATAAAAGAAAAATAACGCAGAAGAAAAAGTGAAAAAGGATTGTCCTTATTCTACTGCATGGGAGCGTATTAGTGTAAAATTCTATAGGAATCTGACTATTTACCAAATACGGATAGTAACTTTTGGGCGACCATAAAATGAATATTTTTCTGAAACGTGACAACCATTTTTTCAAGATAGCGACGCTTCCACAACCCAAAGAGGGCTGCAAATAAAATTTAACATTCACTGCGACTAGCCTTACAGTGTTTAAAAAGTATGGACTATCTTGCAAAAAAATCGTCAGCTTTTTGTAATTTGACTGTACTTATAGTTTTTTTGTTTTATTTTACTTCCCCCACCCGACAAATGAGGTCATGAGAGCAGAAGTGGCCTAACGCAAAAATTTTATTTTTTTACTTACCTAACTTACCTACATAAAATAATGTCAAATGTGATAAATTTTGGAAAAAAAAGTCGCTTATTCCTTAAGTTTCAGATACGCAGCTTCTTAGCGTACCATCAAATTAAGTAATAAGCGACCTTTATTTTAAAATTTATCAAATTTGAAACTAGTTTAGGAAGTTAAGTAAAAAACAAAAAAATGTGCCTTTGGGCACTTCTGCTCTCATGACCTCGAATATGCTCTCATAAATATCACTATTTCGTGTCGCACAGTGTAATAAATATATAGATTCATGTATTGTTTGATAATATTACATACATAAATGCTTTTGTTAAGTATTTAGCTCCAACTACATATAATAGTATATATTTTATATTTTTATTACATTAGTAACTATTTTTGTGATATATAATATACTATCTTCTTAAATATTCATTTATTAGCCACAAACCCGAGTGCATATGCTACGAATATATTTACTACATACATATGTATGTACTCGTATATGTATATTTATATATGTTTGTATATAAATATAAATACAATGTTAAATATGCAATTTGTTTTGGTTTTTTCTTAATTTCGTTCACTATTCGAAGGTATAAGTTGCGCTTTTGGACTAAATAGGTATGAGAGTTAACAGTAAATTTGAGAATAGTGAGGTTGAGTGCTGATTCTATATAGTAGGAATATTTCGTATGTATGTGCGGAAAAACCACGTGCGTGTTAAGTTTATAGATTACATATAAGTTAGTGAGTGAGTGCGAGACAGAGGAAGCGAGGATTTCGTTTGAATGGGTTAGTCTTTAGGTTTAAAGTGGACACTATAAAAGTATAACAAAGTGCTTAATGCAATACTGAAGTAGTACAAGTCTTATGTTGGGTTACACTCCTAAAATTACATAAATATGTATGTATGCATCTAAGAGTCTGCGGTTAAAAATCCAGTTTGCTTGGAGTACATTTGGGCGCTAAATAAATAGGAAATATTGAGTATATTTGATTGGTCTGCTTTTCTTTTTCGATCCACTCTCTAATTGAGTGGCGCCGAAAAAACTATGATCGACAATAAAGTGTAGGGATTCTTACAACCAGCATTATTCGTTCGTAATAAATAATCTTACTAGCTTAAATATGTTTGTATGTATTAGGTTTCGTTCTCAAGTTATGTATTCACTTACAATAACAACATTTAAATAATACTGTTACGCTTGGCACGTAAGGCGGTGCTCTGCATAGCGGCTACAACTGCCTCAGCGCCGCCGGTAAATATCGGCTGATAGGAGGCGCGTCGCAGCACATGCCACATTGCCACCGGTTTGCGTAGCGAGGAGAGCATTTGATGCCAATGGCGCAATCCCTTGCCCGTGGCACAGGCACCGGCTATCACATGTCCAATGGGCGCAATACGCGGTGCGCCATCCTCAGCATCGGTTACACCAAAAAACGGTGAGACGCAGCTGTACGGTGGTAAGGCTTGGCGGTGGCACACTGAATATCATCGATTCATTAAAGATGGGGCAGCGATCGCGACGTTTGAGTGAGGTGCGTTTCTTAAGCACTTTCTTCTCGTTGTTCATCAAGTAGACCTAAGAGCATTAAAAAAAATTGGAATTAATTCTCAAGCACTTAGTTGCTGCATTTGCATATGTACTTCATAACATTGCACACTTACCTTGACGAAAACGCTTTGTACCTCCTGTGGTGCGCCGTTTTTACCACTTTCTTTTATTTCCATTTTTAAATTTCGCGCTTTCACTATAACAATTGTAAGGCGTTCGGCTGTGGGCAAATAGCTTAGAGAGAACATTAATTCGCCCCACTGTGCATTACATTTGCGTGAATCGGTTAGTGGTATCCATGTGGTGACAGAGCGTGGCATTTCACCGATTTCCATTTCTGCTTCACCGATCAACGTGTGCGCATCGCCGTTGTGATATAAATGGAACCAAAGCGAGTGTCGTCCATGCTGCTTTTTTAGCCAAAAGTTGAAGGTTTCATTATAGCTAGGCGTGACAGAATCTTTGAATACCTAAAATGCATAATTAGAGAAAAAAAAAATCAATTTAAATAAGGTAAAAATACATGATTAAAAATTCAGAATGTAAATTATTTTCAGCTCTTTTTGGAGATTTTTTTTCGTGCTTTTTGGAATGTTTTTGAATTTCTGGATATTTGTGCATGTCTTTGGAAATTTTAGTCGGGCTTTTTCGGAAATTTTCTATAATTTTAGAGTTCTTTTCCAGCCATTTCTGGACTTTCCAACACTTCTATGGATTATTTAGGAAATTGTTGGTTATTATTTTTAATGGAAAAAACCAAATTGACTCGAAATTTTTTTTGGGTAGCAAATGTTCGGCATATTTTTTTGCTTATAAGAAATTTAACGAAAAAGAAAATGGTCGGCATTTTTGGGATTTTTTTGATTTTAAAATTTTTTTCGGAAAATTTTCGAAATTTTTACAGTTTTCTTTTCGTGGCTTTTCGGGATAATTTAGAATTTGTCGATATTTGTTCGTGTCTTTGAAGGCTTTGGACATTTTTTTTTCACTTTTTTAGGCCTTTATCTCATTTTGAGTTTTTCCACGGGAGCTTTCTGGACATTCCAATAATTTTCATGTTTTATTTAGGAATTTTCAAGTTCGAAATACATTTAAGTCTTAGCTCACACATTGTAACACAACTCGTTTTTATATTTTTGCTTTCGCTTAGTTTATAATAGGCAATAAAGGCGCCCAAAAGTATGCTACATTATCACCAGGTTCCTTGTGATTACATTTGCCCGGCGACGGCGAGCGCTACCCGTGATGTCGGCAACATTTGGTGTCGACAAGGCGGGTCTACGGCAAAAACAGCAGGTGGAACAATGGATTTATTAAGAAATCGTTTTAGTGATCATTCCTTGGGTAGACAATATGTTGAGTAAGAGAAGAATCAGTGACTCATTGGAAATCGTAGAAATAAGGAACTACTCGGGAAGACGAAGTGACAGTCTATCTCCTCTTCTTCATGCTACATCTCGAAAGCCACTATTTGTTGTACATGCAGAGAACTTGGTAATTCTGGTTGTAGGGAAGTTCATCTCGGCGGTGAGTGGGATAATAAAATAACGAACCGAAAAGGTCACTAGGCTTAATCCCTCTAAAAAAGATATATCATTTTCGAACTTAATCACTCAATGCAGAAAATTGTTAATTGCCTTAAGAGGCGAAGTTCTTTGAGTCTGTTCTTGACTTTGAAGTTATTCCGCCGTCTCTAGCATCGGTAACGGCTAACTCGGTATATATACGGTAATGTAGAAGACTCCTTCAAATTCTTCCACAGCATAAAGGTCTAGTTGTCGGGAAAAGGACTTGGGATAGAATTAAGGAAGGCAGTTGGAAGCATACATCGACCCTTGTTTCAAAATAGAAGGATGTGAAAAGGCATTTTCAGCTCTTCATAAGCCTTTCGCCACTGTACTATGTCGTTATGTATGGGCATTGACTTAAAATTTCTTGTGTGACTACTCTCGAGTACAAGTAGAATCGAGTATTTCCTAGCGATACTTTAAGTAGCATCGAGTATTCCCTTCGATACTTTCAATGAGTACAGGCATCGAGCACATGGTGGTATCGGACGAACAGTATAGGTGGGTTGACTGCAATGCTTCCTGCCTGTGTAAATCCTATATTGCTTGGTCAATCCACATCCATCCATCTATCTAACTTTTCAAATTAGTTTACCTACTTCTCTTATGGCAGCTCCTGATATGTAGATCTGCTAGATGCTAGATGTCTTAGTAAGACCTTGGCATTCACATAGGAAATGCTGACTGATTTCTTAGCTATCTTTTAGCTGACACCTGTGCTAATTTTCTTTATAGGGAAGTTCTATACTTACCGTCCAAAGGAATGCAGATTAATTTTTCTTTGGATATTCCAAGAGGGCAATCCAGTATCAGCGCTTCGGTTTCACCCGAACAGGCCTTCTCAAGTTCTCTCATTGACTCCGATGTGAAGAGAGAAATCGTTCACTGAGACAAATGCATTTTTGCATGCTTTAACCAGCAAAGATTTGGTAACCGCAGTTTATATTGCTAATAGAGCCTCATGGCTGTCAGAATATATCTATTTAAAATTTTACGTAGAGTCAGAGCAACATCGAACTCAGCGGAGCAGACTATACATAGGTGCAAAGAGAGGCAGTCTCTTCCGACAGGCTTGCTGGGATTCAAATCCGAATGTTTTTAAAACATGTAGGGATGGGTATGGCAAAAAATTATTCTAGGTATATATTTGAATATACATATGTCCACTTATCTTTTACAGACTATCTTCAAAGGCTGCTGAAGACTTAATTTGAAATTAATTTGAATGTTGAAGAATTTAAATAACTTAGTTACTCTATGTAACTATTCACTATTCGTATATTACACTGCAACCGAACATTCTTCTATTTAAAATTGCAAAAGATGTGCCTATATACGTATATATAACTAACTGCCTTCGTTCAACAAATGACCATCCTTTATCCTGAGCTACATATTTGCTCACTGACCTCTATCCACTTTACTTTCTAGTTGCATATTCTTTTTGATTTTTTAATAAGTACTTCTCACACCCTTTGGTCATCACGCGTGAAATTTCAACAGGTTTTCGCCCATTATATTTACATACATACATATATACAAGTATGCGTGTAAATATTTGTTTTTGCATTTCTTATGTAATCCTCAAGAGCTTAAATGCTATTCTTAAACAAAAACACTCACTCACCTTCGTCTGCATTGCTGCCGCCTCGTCTGGCACAAGATAAATGCGCACAAAAGTGTCTAACGACTCGACGTTAAAAGGACAAATTAGCCCCTTTGCCTCCAGCACCATAACGCTGAGCTCCATGCCCTCGTCGGTGATGAAATTTCTGCGCATTGAAAATACGAAAAAGAAATGTACATAAGTAGGTGCAAATATGTATATTCATATGTACATATGTATGTATGTATTAGCATATGTTTGTAAAAATAATAGCTGTGGGTGAGTTAAGAGTGGACATGGAATATAGCGCCACAAATGCATTAGAAACGCATACGCGTCTGCAATGTTAGTAAGGCAAGCGTAATTAATATTAAACGTGATGTGCACAAAAAAAAAACAAACCCAAGTTCAGTCCACTGAAAAACGGATAATGGCTTGTAAGAAATTTAGCTTCTTAAGCTTAGAATCCAAACAATTTATATAAAACGCACAAGAAATAGAAAAGGAATTTTCTTCTATCAAAAGTTCTTAAATCAGTATGAAGGCGAATTCAAGGTGTTAAACTGAGTAAAAAATATAACCACAAAACCAGGTAACCTGATAACCAGGCAGTGTGAACAACCCAAATAAATTGAAATAAAATGAGAAATGTCAAGGTACAGGAGGAATCTAAATAATCAGAGCTTCATCTGTTTCAGGGTCTTGGCTGACCGATCCCCGCAAAGATCATAACTGGTAATTTTCTGAAATTGAACTACCCTTCCACTCTATCTAAATAGCAAATTCTCCATAGAAGTCCCAGAGAGGAACGAATAGGCTAAATGCCATTAGCTCAGGTACGATGATCCTAGGAACTGAAGTCTGGGGCTAATGAGGGCTTAGCAGTGGCACAAAGACTTAGACTCAGGGTCGAAGCCTATCTACATAGATCTCACAAAACATCAGTTTTCATTTACCTGACCACTGTTCCGTTTTTCAGGCAGAACTAATAGGCATAAATGAGGCCCCTGTGGCTCAGAGTCTCCTCTCCCTTACAGCGGCCTATCACGATATATTCGGACAGTCTAGCTACTTCTAAATCCTTAAAATCCAACAGAATAACGCCAAGGTAGCCATTGACTGCATAGGTGCTCTCAACCAGCTGGCATAGAAATGCTCTTTAGTCGTTGTATGAGCCCCTGGACACAGGGGCGTCCCTCCCTGATGACCGTATGGGTAATAGATACCTTTAAAGTCCTGCAAGCACGACTTGAAAATTTGCTTCATCAATGTAGTCAGATTACAATGCAAATTTAAGCAGAAAAGTCAATGAAAAGCAATCTAAAGTTCTTACACGGCGCGACCGCTGCTTTCTTAGATTAGAAGTTGATGGAATAACCGGAGACTGGCTCACGGGAAGAGGGGAAGAAAGATAGAGTATTGAACATTATATTTGCCATTGACCCGCCTCGGCTAAGACGCGAAAACAAATTCAGCCAATTTTCTCGATATTATGAGATATATGTAGCCTTGGTTCAATTTCTAGGTGATATATGGAAATTATGAGGGGTATCACAACGGGCTGGTTTTCAGCTTAAGTCTGTCTCGTGCTCCACTTGCGCGGCGGCAGGAGCTCTAAGCTATCCTACTTTTATGAAGGACACTTTTTCGAAAATATCAGGAGTATTCAAAATCTATTCTTGGCTTTTTGTTCAACTAAACTGTTTTAGATTTCTGGGGGATCACCTTGCGAAGAGACAAGATAGAGGTTTCATCTATTTATTGAATGCAATCCATATTTCTGGAACAGCACTTTAAGAAATACAAGGGAGAGATGGAGTCTACTAAACGTTTTTATTGCTAGACAAGTGTGTTTCAAATTTATGGAGCCCACTTTTCGAAGAAACAAGAAAGAGACATAATTTTCTTGTTGAATAAATGCAAAATTCTTGGTGAAGTCAATCATTTCGAGACAAGAAAGAAGCAGATTCTAAGGCACGAGTAGGTTTGAGACTTTTGGAAGACATTTTTATGTTGTTAAGAACAGGGTATTATAAGAAATGGATTCGTCAAAAGATCAGAATGACTTGAGGATTTTCAAGAATAGCATTTCAGGAAATCGCTCGAGAGCCCCAAAGGCCTCTGTGGCGTACTGCTGAAAACTTTAATAAAATACCCTTTAAAGGTTAGAATTTTAACACTTACATCTTAGTTTTTACTTTATAATTTAAAGTCTATCTAAATATGTATCTACTATCCACATTTCCTACTGGGTATGAACCGCACATACATGTATTACATTTGTACATATACATGCTAACATGTATAGCAGACCAGTGCAAGTTAAATACGCACATACTATGTATTGGAAACCTAACCAACAAAGCTTTAAAAAACACCAACAACACAGATAACAGTTGCCACAAAAATAATGCAGCACATGATTCGGGTGAATGCACATTGCACACTTGAAAGGTTGTTAGCACATAAAACATAAGTGCCGTAACCCATCCGAGCCTAGCTAGTCTGTGGGTTGTATTGCAATTAGAGGTGGTGGTGGAGAATATTGTTGCCGTATGTGAACGGACGTGTATGCAAGCTTATTTATCTGTACATAGCATCTGCTGGTGGCAAGAGTCCTATTGTGGTTGGCTGAAGTGCACAAACATTTGCCCAAGCACAACACCACTAACAATATATGCCTCGTAGTTTTTTTCCCAGCTATCAACAGCAGGCGTTTTTGCTACACATATGCACATATACATATATGTACATGCCTCTTTTAACTTCTTGACGCCCCTCCCGTTGCCCATACTTCTCGCTACTCACTTATCATATTGCAATCCGACACACAGGTATCCCGTTATCTGTGTATATGGCTGATCCAATTCGCCCACAAATACTGACGAGGTGTCCGAGTTCACCGAGTCACACGAGATGGCACGCTCCAAGTTGATGCCCTCCAGCGAACCGCACGCCGTCGAGTCGAGCGAACATTGTGAACTGTTGCGTCGGCCAAGGCTCATTAGAGAATCTTGGCGCAGCAATGAACGGCCAAAGGTCCAGGTGGTGTTGCCACTGCCACTACCACTACCACTAATGCTGCTGCTGCCATTGCCGTTGCCACTCAAACCTGACGTGCAATTTGCTGCCTGTGCACCGGCTGGATTTACGCCCAGTTTGCGGAAGAGGAAGTCTTCCGAGATGGTTTTCTGTAGCATATGTGGCCCCTTTTGTACGCGTTGCGACAAGCCGGTGAAGGGGTTTGTTGAGTTTTGTGTTAATCGACGTAATCCACTTGAGAGCGAACTTAGGTCGGAGTCTTCGGTTGCTTCCGTGGTGGAAAACGAACGATTGCGGAATTCTTGGAATTGTTGTTGTAGTGATTTTGCGCTTAGTGAAGTTGGTGCAGTGTTGTTGGAGTTCGCTGTTAACGCATCAGGCGCATTGGTCAACTCGCTGTAGAAAGGATTACAGCGGCCATTTATGGCACTGTCATTTGTAGTTGTAGCGCCTGCTGGTACAGTTGGTTCGTCGATTGCGGCGCCATTGCACTTATGCCCGTTAAAATTACTTTTGGTGTAGTTAGAATTATTTTGCTTATTTGTAAGTGTATTAAACTGTTGTTGTTGTTGTTGTTGTTGCTCTGATGTTTGCTGTGTTGATAAGGCAGTGTTGGATTCCGGTAAGCTATCCGCGGATTCGCAAAGAAAGGGATTTGTGCTGGAATTACGACGCTTCAACGCCTTCAAATGACTACGCTCGCCATCCGCAGTCGTTGCAGCTGTTGTCGTTGTTGTGGGTAAAGCTTCAGTTTCCTGTATTGTTGTTGTAGTTTTGATTGTATCCACATGACCACCTGTAGCAGCTGCATCATTGCCAACATTTTGCAATGACACATGCCGCTTAGCCACCGGGCGTGGTATGGCGGTAGCGCTCAAGGCCGACGATGGGGCAGCAGACAGTCGTGGCGGTGGTGGCGCTTCAATTGGTTTTGGTATTGGCGCATTTGTGGTCTTCATAGAAGAACGCATGCAAGAAACCATCGACGCGTTATCACTGTTACTGGCGTGACTATTCGAGTTTACTTGTTCCAGAAATCGGTGTCCGCCACCATTGTTCATGGGTGTGGTGGTCTCATTGATTTGTTCAAATGAAAAAGTGACTGTTTTTATGTGACCAGCACTGGCGGGCGTCTGTGTGCCGGGTGCTGGCGCTGGTCTTAACGGTTGTGGTGGTATGTTGGAATCAACTTCTCCCTCGCCAGCTAGATTCCAAAGCGGTGTAGTTGCATGATGGGTGGGCTGTTGACCCGACTGCCGGTAGTCATCCTTATCGATAGTATCAAAACGCTTAAAACTGCCGCTGTTGCTGAGTAAAAATTCTGAGCCAGAATGGATCTGAAATGAAAGTGTGTAAATTTTTCCGCTTTTGTTAATCATTTAGTGTCATAGGAATTCCCTCTCACCATATAACCATTGGCATGAAAAAGTTTATTTTTCGATAGTCCTATCTTTTCTTCCTTATTGGATCGCATCCATGTGTTGGCGTGTGGTCCCAAACAATGGCAGGCAAACATTACAATTGCTATTAACAATAGTAAAATCAGCGCCAGACTGGTGAATGACATCGGTTCGCCATCCATTGTGGTTGAGTGTCACTACTTTGCTTCCGCTCATCTGATGCTGACGAGTTGAAAATGCTTGATGATCACAGTGTTTGGTTAAGAGCTGCAAAATAGAAAAAAGAACGCATGCATTAATATAAAAAAAAGTTAAATAAATTTTGCTTGGTTTATAAACTGAACATTTCTGTTTAAATATTCAAAAATGTTGCATAAATTTTGTTCATTTCAAAACTGAATATAAATTTTTGGCATCTGAAAACTGCAAAAATTGGACATAGAAGCCTGAAAGGTAAAAAGTGGATATGTGAATGGGTTCACTTTAAATACATGGCCACTTTTTATTGTATAATCTTTACACGACACATTTGGGCGGGCAACTTTATATTTTCAGTTTTTCAAAAACTAAAAATTTACATATGTATGTATGTAAAGCTTTCAAATGTCCAAACAAACAGGGACGGAAAAATATGTCCTCACCAAAATCGGCCGGGTTCGCCGACGGAGTTTTCATGCCATGCTGGGGGACTCAAACGTGTCATGCTACCGTTCTGTCAAGTGATAAATATTTATATATAAACCTGCAGTATGAGAATCCCTACATAAAGGCCAAATATGTAGTGTGGTCTGGATGGCTTACGTTTGGACAGTGATCAAACTTATTCTGCTGTTAGGGCTTAGTTGCCGTAATGCTGAGCTCCATGGGCATGAATGGGTGGAAGTGATTTGTTTTTGCCTTGGCATCAACCATATTTCATCTGACTCCTCCACCGCAGAAGGGTCTTGTGAAATACTGTGAGAACCGAAATGTCAGTTTCATCTTTTGTTGGCTGTCTATACCAGAAGAATGCAAGGAGGAATCAGCTTTTTGTGTATACGAGTATCTTGTTTTGTGGGCTTAACATTCTGACTGGACCATAAAACCCAGGTTTGTTTCATATAGTAGGAAAGAGGTTATTGATCTAACTCTATCCAACTCCCTGAAACTAGAGAGAGTCCTGAGTGAAGATTAGCTCTCGGTACAGGTGCATTTCTATGTACTTGGTGAAGAAGCTTTATGATCTGTTTCAAGGCGTGATTTGAGACAATTGGTCCGGCTGTGTTTAATCGAGGTGCTTCAGAACCAGATTGTTGTGCCACCTGGAATCGATCCACACAATGTATTGATGAGGTGGCGGTTATTGTAACGGCTTCTCTTCGTGCCAGTTTGGGTATAGCTTACCTGCCTTATCCACTCTTGAGCCGCTGTTCTGTGACATTTTAAAATCGGGTGCTGAAAACAAAAGATGAGATGGACTGGGGAGCTATCGCTGCGCTCAAAGCGAGTAAAAGAAGATGGTTCGCTCTACTAGGTTTCGGTTGAAATAATACTGTAGTGGTATTTATACCTTCAATCAAACAGCTAGTCTGTTGAAAGTCCTTACAAACTTCCAAAACTCTAAGTTGAGTTACCTCAAGAGGCCTGGTGGTCCTTCACGGGGGCATGAATTGAGAATCTTTCAGTTGTTTTAGATATCGAAGAAAATGTAAGAACCACAGTCTCAAGGAACAAATGATTTGTTGACAGAAATGTGTTGAGTGATAAGATGTGCTATTGAATCTTTGTACTCAAAGAAGGTGCTGAGCTTTTGGTGGAGATCTTGGAAAGATATGTTCACCGGGTCGTTTGCACTTGCTTACATATCGCAATCATGGGACGACTTTCGCTCTTATTTGGATATGTTTCGTTATTCCACGCCGCGTTGGCATCTCTGAAATCCATGGAATACGTGATGGAAAATAAGAGGAGAGGTTGGTGTTTCATGTCTCTGTAGTGACAGCCAAGTTACACTTAACGCAATGACTGGCCCTCTAACTACTTCCAAACTACTTCGGAAATTCAAGTCCCGACTAAATTATGGTAATAAGATATCAGACAATTTAGCTAGATAGGGTTGACCTCAGCTATTCTTTGGTCCGCAAGCAGCAATAGTGGTCTGACCTTCGACCATGAAGTCACCATTAGAAACTGACCGAATATGACTGAATGACTTGTGGTGTTCAAGCGGCTAGACACGGGCTAAACTCAAACTCAAAATGTCATTTGCTTCCATTGAGAACTTGTAGGATTGCTGACTGGTCACTTCTAGTGGCACAAACATCTGACTATACATTACAACATGGCATTTGCCCTTCCTGCCTTGAAAAAGAGGATGAGACGGCGAAAGTCGTCTTTTTGTGCTTCTGCTCTGCCTTTGCAAGGCTTAGGTATGAGGCTTTTTGCTGTAATGTGTTGAGGGATGAACACCTCAGCTTTTTAATACCCAAAAATTTGCTGCGTGTCATTCGTAGATCGTGCAGATTAAAGATATTACGAAAGAGTACAGCGGACGGCATGTAGACAGTGTATTCTCTTCTACATGACTTGTAGCTCCACCAATATCTTTACTCCTATTGCACGCCTAGTCCTCAAAAGAAATATAAATAAGTTATAAATTAATTAAAAGTTAGAACTTGACGAACTTAAACTTGAAAATATTAAGTACACTTTCAATATTTAGCACATATAAAACTTGAATGTGAGCTAATTATTTTCAATAGTTAGTGTTTTTTGGATAAAAAAATAAATTACTGATACATATTTAGTTCAATAGAAAACATTGCAGTAAACTGAATAATCAATTTGCATTCATCTTACTTTCCTATGTTGTCTATCTGTTCTTCAATGACTTATGCAGTACAAAGTTTTAAAGAAAAAAAAACACACGCAGGAGTATGTATGTACATACATACGTACATTAGGGTGCATGACGAAAAGTTGCGAGTTTTTCAGTTATAAAATTTATTATATTTTAAGACTTTCGCCAAAATAATTCGGAAAATTATTAAGATTTATGTACGTGAGCTAGATAGATTTAAAAATATCTGCAAAAATCTCATTAATTTGTTTCCGTTCATAAATTTATTTAATATTTTTATGCACACCTTTTAAGCCTAAACTCTTAGAAGAACTACTATCTCATATGATTTTTTAGAGAACATATTTTT